CCCTAAACCCTAAACCCTAAACCCTAAACCCTAAACCCTAAACCCTAAACCCTAAACCCTAAACCCTAAACCCTAAACCCTAAACCCTAAACCCTAAACCCTAAACCCTAAACCCTAAACCCTAAAAAGAAGTGAAGTTAGAAACCCGTATGATAGGTGCTAACAACCTGTATGTTCGTTAGAGCCAAAGATTCCCCCCCACTGATACGAGTACGTCGATTACCCCCCGAACCGTACAAGATAGTTACCACCTATCATACGACTTTCTAACTTCACTTCTTTTTCTGGTTGTTCCGCTCTGTCGATCAATGGTAGTATAAGAGATTTGTAACCCCCCGAAATTCATTACATAATGGTTCCTGCTTTCTACCCATAGTTAGCATGTATCTCTCTGGATCATACTTGCATTACAGTCAAATTTTATAGGTGTTAACATTGGAACTTTTTTCCCCTTTGAGACGGGGTCGTTAACTCGATCTGAAAAGTTTTTTTCTCGTTTTAGTATCATACCATATCTACTAAAGATTGTTCTAAGCTTAAAATATGGAAGAGTAAAAATATTTACTCGTGTCTATAAAACCTCACACCCTCAACTCAGTCGAGAAGACTCTCATGAAGGCACTTAAATCATTATGTGAATAATCAAAGTTTCTTTCGATCTTTTTCAATAAAACTATAAGGAATGCTCAAGTTTGATGAATTTTACACATATGTTGGGTTAAAATACGAAACTTATGCACTTACGCTTCCGTGCCATTTTGGAGTCAAAATCCCTAGGTGTTAACATTGGAACTTTTTTCCCCTTTAACTCGATCTGAAAAGTTGCTTTCTCGTTTTAGTATCATCAAAGACATCTCAGACATCTCTGACATCTCATTCATCTCAGACATCTCATTCATCTCAGACATCTCAAACATCTCAAACATCTCAGACCTCTCAGACCTCTCAGACCTCTTAGACATCTCTGACCTCTTAGACCTCTCAGAGATCAAGGACATCTCAGAACTCTCAGATTTCTCAGAACTCTCAGACCTCTCAGACATCTTAGTCCTCTCAGACCTCTCAAACATCAAAGATATTTAAGACCTCTCAGACATCTCAAAATTCATCTCAGATGTCTCAAACCTCTCAAACATTTAAAACATCTCATACATATCAGACATCACAGACATCAAAGACACCTCAGACATCTCAGACATCTCAAACATCTCAGTCATCTCAGACATCTCAGACATCTTAGACATCTTAGACATCTTAGACATCTTAGACATCTTAGACCTCTCAGACATCAAAGACATCTAAGACCTGTCAGACCTTTCAGGCATCAAAGACATCTCAGACATCTCAGACATCTCAGACATCTCAGACCTCTGAGAGATCTCAGACATCTACGACCTCTCAGACATCTCAGGCCTCTCAAACCTCTCAGACATCTAAGACATCTCAAACCTCTCAAACATTTCAAACATCTCAGATATTTCAGACCTCCTAAACATCTCAGACATCTCAGACCTCTCAGAAATCTCATAAATCTCAGACATCTCAGACCTCTCATAAATCTCAAACATCTCAGACCTCTCATAAATCTCAGTCATCTCCAACCTCTCAGACCTCTCAGACATCAAAGACATCTCAGACCTCTTAGACCTCTCAGACATTTAGACATCCAGACATCTCAAAAATCTTAGACCTCTCAGACATCTTAGACCTCTCAGATATCTCAGACATCTCAGAGCTCTCAGACATCTCAAATATATCAGACATCTCAAATATCTCAGACATCATAGACCTCTCATACATCAAAGACATCTCATACCTCTCAAACATCTCAGACATCTCAGACATCAAAGACATCTCATTTCTCTTAAATTATGTTGATTGTCTGTGTGACATGGTATCTGGTATTTTGGGACGAATAGAGATTCCGCCAACTAATATTTATCTGTCAAGCTGACTCATAGAAGCCCACACAGTGATTTATTATCTAACTGTATAAGGAAGAAGCTCAAGTGATGATTGTACAACATGGGAACCAAAAATTTGCGAAAGCATGGAATATTTGACCTCGTTGGACGAACTAAAGTAAGAAGTTTAAAGACTCGCCAAAAGCATCTTAATTTATTTCGAGATATTTAATTGTTTTAGCCTTAGTTTTGTTTAATCTAAATAAATTCAAAAGACATCCCATGTTTCCACTCTATTGTGGAGTGAATCCTTCATTCTTATCATGCATTAAATAAATTATACTAGATGATAAATATATGATAATATCTATAATATATTAAAACTTAATAGTAAGAGTACTTTTTTTAAAATCTTTAAAATCTTCTTACCGAGAGTATTTTGAAAGTTTTAAAAGTTTAAAAATATTAAAAAAAAACAAAACTTTAATATTTTTCATTTAAAACTTAATAAGAGTTTTTTTTTTTTTTTTTTTTTTTTTTTTA